TCAAAAAAAAAAAAAAAAAAAAAAGGAAGAGTTGGGATATTTGAAACTTGAAAAAAGAGGAAAAAAAAAAAAAAAAACCACCAATTCTAGACAAGGAGCGAGGCACTAGAACTCCAGCGAGAAGTCACTGAGTGGCCCTGGGCAGCCTGGGAAAGAGGCAAGGGGCTTCTGGAAAATGGCCTCTGCACTCTGCACTCGCATCACTGGCTGTGGCCCCCAGGCCAGCCCTTCCCCATTCCAGGGAAGGAGGTGGGCAGGGCCACAAGACCCGCTGCAGGTCCAGTCAACCCCAGCGTTCCTGGAGCAGGGAGCCTGCAGGAGCGGCGCACAGACAGCCCTGGGGCGGGTGGGCCAGGGGGCTGGAGTCCTGAGCAGGCTGACTTGCACACTCCCGGTGGGACCTCCATCACCGAACGAGACGTTTGTTATTCTCTGATAAATGCCACACATTAACACAATAACACCCATTCCGGGAACCATGGGGGTTTAGGGCACGTCACTGCAGACACGCTCTGCGGCATTCACCGACAGTCTGTCATGCACATACCGCGTTGGCCATGTCCTTGTGTTCATAGCAGGTTCCCGGGATTAAGGGGGACCGCCAAGCTAATCATGGAATGTCTGTTCCCAGCAAACACGATAAGGAAAGATTGTGCACTTTAACCTCTCTCATCAGGGCCCAAGGGCTGGCTGGGATTTTTTTTTTTTTTTTCCTCTAACTTAGTTTCTGACCAAAGTGAATCGGGGGCATCTGCTAAAAGACATCCCTGTAGGCACGGGGGCGGGGGGAGGGGGGTAGTGGTTGAGGGCTTCCTTCCCTTGGCTTCCAGAAAGCGGCCTTCGATTCAGACAGGCCAGTGAGCTTTCTCCTTGGGCATCTCTGGGGACATCTGTCAACAGACTGAATCTTACTCGTAAGATCACGCTTCCCTTTTAGTTACCCCAAAGAGCACTGGGCAGGGAGTCAGACAGGCCTGGCTTCAAGGGTTCAGTCCCCTGACAACTCCCTACATGACCTTGGGCAAGTCACTAGTGTCTCTCTGAGCCTCAGTTTCCCCTCTGTGACAGACTTGGGCTGAAATGACACCCATCCTGCCTACCTCACAGGGCCACCCTGAGGATCGAAACTTGATCTCTTCCAGGAAAGCTTTGTACCAAACAGCGAGGCAGCCCTGACCCGTGAGGTATTCCTGTGACTGTAACCCTCAGCCCTCACTACAGCCAGAGGTGTGACCCAGAGAAGCTTCCAGCACAGCCCCCCGCCTGGGATGACCCGGCTGGAGGGGAGCTCCCAACGACTTTCTTGACATTCCTAGACAGGTTCATTCTTTGCTAAAGGAAGGCCTGAATGGCAGCGTCTAGGACGTCAGCACAACCGAGCAGGTTGCTCACTCCCTAGAGACACCTTACGGCAGCTTCAACAGGCAGGCAATAATCTCTTCCCAGAACCACTGCAGTCAGGAACACGCTGTCGTCACCACCAGGCTTTGGCAGGAGGGCCCACGGGAATCTTACCGTCGCCAACATTTCAGAACACCTTACTTCACGTAGCATAGCTTTCCCCTCCCCTCCCCCAAAGAGAGGTTATGGAGGTACTGTAGCTTTTAGGGAAAACAAAAAACAAAAAGTTAGCACATCACAGGTCGAGTTGAAGTCATTCTCTGTTTAGGCACTAAGACTTGGTGTTGTCACTCACTGTGTATTGCCAGTATTTACTTGCTTTCTTGATTTCACCAAAACCAAATTTAATTTGAAGGATCACATTTGTTTTTCAAAGGGAAAGATTAATTGTACATAATGTAAACACACACACACACACACACACACACACACAACCTGTAGAAATATTATTCCAGCATAGCGGGACACAAAAGTATTGGACTGTCAGAGGTGAGCGTGTGCGTCTGTAACCCTTTGTGACACCTAAACGTGCAGTCTTCTAGGTTAACCCACCAAGTACATCCTCTGTCTTACGGATACTGTAGGTTCACCCATTTTCTTTTTTAATTTCCCTGCAAATAACAAGACCCACACGAGTGACTCTAGCTACTTAATGGTTCTGTTCTTTTATATGCAGCAAACACACCGTCCATTTCCGAAGAGGCCGCGGCCTGAAGGCATTTTCCAATGACGTTAGTGCACAGACGCTTTCAATTAGACCGGAACTGCCAGGATCAAATGTAAATGAGGACTTTCTCGTACCCCTACTGCATGGTATCGATTTTTAATAAATTGTTGCAAATTTGTTTTTATGAATAAAAGGAAAAAAGCTGTCGTCTTTAATGCCTCCTCTTCCCCAAAAGCAGGTCAGCTCAGACCGGAATTTTCTGCTCAGAAATGCAGGGACAGTGCTGGGCTTGCCCATTTTGCATTGTCCCTTCCTTCCTAAACTGGCAGAGCAGCCCTGTTACCATGTGACCCCCCAACTTCAGGCCACAGCTGACTGATCCAAGGGTGGGCATCTGACCTAAGCTGGGCCATAAATCTCTTGGCCAGGCTTCCTCCATGTAGAGAAATGTAGTCAGCCGAGAACGAGCAGACAGGACTAGGACCAAGAGCTGCGTCCTGGTGATGCTGAGTGCCCAGTTAGTGGCTCCTAAGGGCGGCAGCACCCTGGCCTCCGCCTGCTCGGCCCTTCAGGCCTTCCTGAGATTCTCTGTTCTTTGGATAAATGTTTGCCCTTCTTGCCTGGGTTAGTTCAAGTTGGTTCCCAACACTTGAGATCAAAAGGCTCTTGACAGATCTGGAAAACTCACTGCCCGCTCTCCAA